ACATATGCAATATCTCTTAGGATAAGTCTGATAACAGAAAACAAAAGGGCCCAGAGGAGCAGCAACAAAAAACACATGGGATTTCAGTACCAAACAAAAAAGTGACTTAAATACAAGGACAAATGATGATCAAAGAAGGTAAATACTGAAAACACAAGTTTCTGAATAATAATGCCTGCAGCAAAATAATGCCTGCACTCCTTTTGATGATGACAGAAGTCAATGAAAAGACTTGATAAATGGTAAAAGTTTATAACGCTAAGAGCAAAATATTTTGAGAAGAGTTCATTGGTTACTTGGTAGGGGAAGGGAGCCCCTCTTAAGCTCCTGGCTGGAAGATATGCTGGTGCAATTTCTCTAGAGGATAGAAGTTGTTTAGGCAATGTTTTCTATTGAAAGCTTTACTATATATTTTACTCATTTATATGAATACATTTTCCTCATATAAGAACTGAAGACTAAGGATCTATGCAAATATTCTGCTACAAGAATGTAAATGATGATATTTTGAATATAAAATAAAAGATAACTTAGATGTCTAATGAAAGAGAATTGTTTGCTTTTTTCATGGATCAGAGGTCTAACATTGTTAAATTGTCATATTTTCTGAATATTAATATTTTATTTCAGTGTATTATCATCACCCAGGGAGAGATCATAAATATTCATTTGGCATCATTTGAATGGAGCTCCTCTCCAAGAGGCCATAACCATAACAGGTATGGTTCTAAAGTATTGGTCTTTCGGTCTTCTCAGTGATTAAGTTCTTTTGCTTCTACCAAATCATGGAATACTATGAAACCAGATCAATGATTTTTCAGAAAAATGTTTATAACAAGGAAGTATATCCACTTCTGGCATTTGCCATGAAAGATGACAATTGTTCAAATATCCAATTTCATTTTCTGTAAAATGAAAAAAAAATGATACCTCTTCCTACCCTGTTTAGTTTGGGGGTATTAAAAAGTCAAGCATGCCATGCTCTTAGCATTACCTACTTGCTGTTGATAGAACAGCATAAATGCACCACTGGTAAGGTGTATACACATCTGTATTTATTTTGACTTAAATATTGAAGCTGATAAGATATTCATGTGGTTATAAACCTTTATTGCTTTTAGGCTTATGTCTTGGCTTTTGCTATGATTTTTGTTGTGTTGGCTTGTTGATTTGCTTTGGTGTAACTGTGGTCTCTATGAATGTGGAAAGGTGTATGAGTCAGGAACTCTGCTGCAGTAACAAATAACCCCAATATCTTAGCAGCTTAGAAGCTCAAAGCTTTATTCCTCTTATATTACAAGTTCTTAGTGAGTTAGCAGAGGTTTTGATCATCCTCATTCACGAGCTCGCTCATGGGTCAGTGACCATCTCATGCCGGGGGAAAGCAAAATAGCAAATATCTCACTCCTTAAAACCTCTGTTCCAAAGTGACCCATGTCCTGTTGGCTCAGATTTTCTGGCCACGGTTAGACACATACTCAGAGGAGAGCCTTGACAATAACAAATATATATTATAAGCTCAAAAGAATTTTAAATCTGATGTGTAGACTATTATAAGCCATTTTAATTTTTTGAGCAGAACAGTGCTATAAGAATAAAGAAAGTTGTCCCCAGACCCAACCCCTAGGAGCAGAAATTAGGAAGAATTACTGTATGTCCACGTTGACCATAACAGAGTTATTTAAGTGAAAGAAAAGATATTATAAGCAACATAGGATAGAAATCAAAGAGTCACAGGATTAATAGAGAATCAAAGACATCAGCTCTATGACTCTCCTACCCTAAAGAAAATGATCACACTTAGCCATCACCACCAAAGCAAGCATTCTTATCTAATTTCTGGTGGAAGAAGCTTTCATTTGGCCCACAAGTGGACTGTTCTGAGGAATCTTGGTAGAATCTACCAGAAGGCTTTTTCCTTGACCCAAGCTGGTGAGCCACTGCTGGGCCAAGGACGGATGGGCCTTGTAATTGCTTTCTTCACTCATATAACCACAGCTGCAGTTATCATTCATAAACTGCAAAACTAATCCTTTAAATGTTCTCCTACTGATCATTTACTTTCAAACACCCAAAGCCACTGAACTTGCAGATGTAGCACTTTGAAAAAGAGTCTTTGATCACTGGTGGGCGCCTCAACTGGCTGCCATAAATCCTGGGTCTTCATTCTCAAAATACTACATTTTGTGATGCTTTACTGAGAAATCATTTCACTCATCAGAACCCTGATTTCCCTAGGAGAAAACTAGAGAAGCTTATTATTTATCTGTAAACTATTATGGAAGGTTAAAATGAATAATTTGAAAAAAATCGTAATTGTATGTATACATGGAAGGATATTTTCAGACACACTTTAAAGACTCTACAGCTTATAACTGGTCCCTAAATAAGCTAGTGACTCTCTAGGAAAGGAGGCGACAGTGTTTGCCAGATTTTCCTAAAGATGAACATGTGAAGCCCGTGATAATTTTCTTATACTTGCATTATATTAAAAATTTAGAGACAAATGAACTTATACTTTAGGTGATATTCTACATGCGAGAGATATCTAGTGTGTTTTTCTTATTTTTCTATGATACAATTTGTTACTTTTAAGAATAAATAGTAAATAAGAACGGTCATCTGAGAGAGATTAGTCTTTAATCTTTGTTACTTTGGCGGATAATGGGCTTCCTCCAGCACAATAAGGAAAATATTTTATTAATGCTGGTAAGCTAATGGTTCTTGTCTTGGGTTGCTGGTGAAAGATGGGACAAGTCTGACATGCTTCTGAAATTGAAAACTCCCTTCTGCATAGCCTACTCTCCTTCTGGTAATCATTAGTGATAAATATCAGGGTATGGAAATACATACGGTGCAAATAATATTGGAGACTTTGGGGGCTTTCTACATAAAGAAAAGTGTAATCAGTGAAAAGAAAGACTAACAGATAGTGGCAAAGAGGTACAGAAATTGGAAGCTTCATTCACTGGTGGTGGGAATGTGAAATGGTGTGTCCAAATTAAAGACAGTGTCGCAAGCACCCAAAAAGTTAAGCAAGACTTATCCTATGACCCAGTGATACTGCTCAGTCTATACACAAAGAAATCAAAACGCAGGTCCACAGTGAGTGTTGAGTATGAATGCTCAGAGGAAATTACTCATGATGGCCAAAGAGCAGGAATGATCCAAATGTCCATTGAGGGCTGAATGGATAAATAAGTGGGGTATGTGCATACGAATGTGTGTTAACCCACCATAGAAAGGGGTGGAGCTCAGACTACAACAGGAAGCAACATGTAAGCCCTGGAAATACACAAAGCTATATGCAAAAGACCACGTATTTAATAGCTCCATTATATAAAATATCCAGAGTAGGAAAACACAGAGGTGGGAAGTATGTGAATGGTGTCTAGGGGTTGAGGAGAGAAGAGAATGAAATAAACTGGTAAGAGGTGCAAGAGGATTTCTTTTTGTGGTGACAAAAATGTTCTGGAATTAGACAGTGGTGATGGTTGTGTAATCCTGGGAATATATAAAAACCACTAGCTGGACTCCTGAATTCTATCTCAATAATACTACTAACAAAAGCCCTCATTTTTAAAGAAGAAAACCATAATAACATAAGATTAAATTTCTGATCAGACCTTCAGATAAAGGAAGTCTCTCTCCTTTTCTCTTTTGTGAACAAAATTTATAATAACTGCTATTACTAATTCCTCCAAAAGCATGTTTCACATTAACTTGTGTTTTCAGGTAGGAGGTAAAACTGTATTTCTTATTTTGAGGAATCATCACGAACCATCAAGAATTTCCTCTAGATGAATTCTTGCTTCACCTCCAATTTGTACTTGCTGGGAGGTGGGGCTCCACCTGGGCTGCGCCTTTCCTACATAGCAGATGCCCCTTCAGAGCTGTCTGTTTATAGGACACTTCCCCAAAGCCACACTCCCCTCCAAGAGGATTGGGGTTCAGAATTGTCAGAGGACAACTAGATGGTCTTATTCAGAAAGCTTTGCGCAACTATCCAAATTGTTTGATGTTTTTAATGTAGCATTAAAGTCAACTACAGGCGAACAGACCTCAAAGCTAAAGTGCACTGATGGGTGTGTGTGTGTGTGTGAGTGTGTGTGTGTATACACACACAGGACACAGAGAAGGAGAAAGAGGGACTATATTTCTCTGTACTTCACTCATGGAAACTGGATTTGTTGTTAGTTTTGAAAAAATTAATCTTCCATCATGTAGAGATCTCAGCTACTTTTAGGTAAGATCTATATATTGATGAGAGCATTTTATTGCTCTAGTAGTTATACTATTAAATAAACTACAGTGAACACACATGTCCAACAGAACATGGAGTCACCAATGTCAAAGCACTAACCCACCCTGGGGAGCTGAATTAGACAGCACCCAATGGACACGGTGATGAGGAAGGTCCCAGGGGGCGCCCTGGGTGGTCTTTCCAGAACCTCACCCCAACAGCCAAACACACTGACCCTGGGCAGGAAGACTTAGGGGAAGGTGGAAAGAGGCAGCTGGGGACAGCAGGCTGGCGCAGATGACCCCTGAACGCATCTGTTTGCTGGACACCCGCCCAGCACCTGCTCCTCTCTGCTGGGGTGCGGGCCAGCCCGCAGGGCCCGGACACCGTGGTCCCCTCACCGCGCTCACCTGACAGGTGCAGCCCAGGGCACCTCCGGCGCGGACCAGCGCCCGCTGCCTCACACTTGGGCTCATCGGCAGTGACCACGTTCAAGAGCCTCAGACTCCCAGGGGCATGGAGGGGTTTAAGGGACAGACGGCCCGTTGTGCGGATGCCTGTGCCCCCGCTCACCCACTCTGACAATGAGGTTGGTGGGTTTTCACTCGTCACAGGTCACCACCCACTTGTTGGCTTGATAAACTACAAATAAACTGACATTGCTCAAAGACACCATCGGGCGGAGCACACAGCAGACCACGTGTGCATGGAACCCTCAACTCCCGAGCCCTGAGGGTGGCAGAGCTACCCGGCTTACCCCTTCCCGAGCAGGGCAGGTCTGAGTTCCCCCGGCACTTCTTGGTGCTCTCCTCTGCCGACAGCGGGCAGGAACGCGGGTGCTCACACTTCTTCCCATGCCAGCCCGCTTTGCAGTCGCATCTTCCACAGTTACACTGCCCGTGACCTTCGCAGAGAGTCATACAAAAAATAAATAAGTAAACGGGGTGATGTCAGAATTAGTTTTCATCTCAACAGTATCACACCAGTCAGCATCTTAACAGACACAACATCAAACATAAAGACAAAGGCACATTCCCCGCTCCAGTTCTTAAATTGCTGCTTTGTATGAATTGATCATGAAGGATAAAGAAAGGCCACAGCCCCAGACGGCTGAGCAGGGCCTGAGGGCTGTGACCTTGAATCTGTCAAAATCCAGGTGCGTGAGAATGAACTTGGGGTGCTGGGCTGAAAGGGGGAGGTTGATGGATTTGGCAGTTGTGCATGTGGAGGAGAGCATAGAAAGTGGAAAACAATTTGATACTGAAACAGGCTCTTATCCTGGGGTCCCCACCCTTGATTCTCATGACCTTTTGACTGCTAAGTCTGTAGACTGAGGGGGCCTTAGCTTCAAACCAGGAACCTGTGTGATGCTGACAGCCTGGAGGTCTTGTCTGGCAAACACGCAAGAGGGTGGTGGGAAAGGTTGCAAAGAACTGAGCCCCCATCATCCTCAGGGAGAGCAAACACCAGCCTCTATTGTCCATCAGATAAGTAGGCAAAACCCGACTCCCTGACCCACAGGTATGGATGATCACATGATAATCTCTTTGAAGTTTAGTTTGTTCATTTTTTTAAGATTTATTTATTTATGCAAACAAGAGCTGGGGTACAGGCCAGAGGTGTGGGGGGTGAGAGGATTCACCAGAGCCAGAGCGGGGAGCAGAACAGGCAGACTGACTGAAGTACACTGCTGAGGGGAGCAGCAGGTGAGACAGAAGAGGTCTGCTGCACCATGTGGGTTGCTCCCTGGCCGGCCAGGGAATTGAAATCTTGCTGCAGAGGCTGTGGACAGCTTCATAAGTTGTATCTTAACCCCTTGTGCCACCAGGGAGGCCCTGTTCATTTTTTTTAAGATTTATTTATTTATACAAGAGCTGGGGTACAGGCCAGAGGTGCAGGAGGGTGAGAGGATTCACTAGAGACAGAGCAGGGAGCAGAACAGGTAGATGGTCCAAAATACACTGCTAAGAAGTTCCCGGCCCTCTTCTCAACCCTCATGTAAGTGAGAGGGAAATTTGCAAACAGAGCTATATTGCAAGTGCACAGAAAAATAAAAGTTCTAAAGGAGTTTGTAACCTTTGAGTACAAGCAATTCTGCTACTTTATAGGAGTGAGGAGCTTTTAAATTCTTGAAGACAAGAGGTTTTATTCGAGGACAGTGAGCTCTGCCATGAGGAACCAGGACAAAACAAGAACTTGCTGCCATTCGTGGGAGACTTGTTGACATTCTAACAATACAAGTGAAATACAGAGTTAGATTGAAAGGCCAGAAAAACTGGAAAAATTAGAACAAAACATTCTGTGGGTGAGGACAACCTGACCCCCCAGGAGTCACCTGCTCCTGTAGCTACCCCAGTTCCTGAGACCTGTGGAATGAATTAGGAGGCTGCAGAGGGAGCCCATGGAGAGGGAGAATATTCTCCAGTTCTGCCATCGGGCTGCAGGTTGAAGAGCAGTCATTATTTTCTATCTGAGGTATGGTCACATCAATAGTTTTTCAAAAGTTCATGGTGTTAATTAATGCTACATGACAACCACCTTCGACACATACTCATATCAAATGAACATGCCAAGTACCTTACATTTGCATGAAGTTATATGTCAAATATATTTCCATTTAAAAAATCAGCAGGGAAACAAAGCCAATCTGTGAAGACAGCCAGGGGTTATTAATTCGAGACTTGCTCCAACTTTTAACTTGGTCCAATGAATATAAAAAATAAGTCAGGTTACCACTATGGAGAGCTGTGTGGAGATTTCTGGACCTACTAAACATAGAGCTTCCATATGATCCAGCAATTCCACTCCTAGGTATTTACCCAAAGGACACAGAAACATCAATTCCAAAGAGCACCTGCACCCCTATGTTTATAGCAGCACTGTTTACAATAGCTAAGCTTTGGAAACAACCCAAATGCCCAAAAATAGATGACTGGATCAAGAAGATGAGGTACATATATACCATGGAATATTACTCAGCATTCAAAAAAGATAAACACATGCAATTTGCAGCAACATGGATGGCACTGGAAGGGATCATGCTCAGCGAAATAAGCCAAAAAGAAAAAGAAAAATACCGGATGGTCTCACTCATAGCAGGAATCTAGAAAACTTAAATAAGGGACCAGGAAAAAGATTAACTATAAGAAAGTGAAAATCAAAATCAACAAAAAACTATGAACCAGAGACACTTTTTGGGGGGGTGGGGGGCGGGAGGGGAAGGATTGGGGTCAGAATGGGGCGTTTGCAATTGTATGGGGGAATATAAAAATAAAATTTAATATTAAAAAAAAAAATAAGTGCTTTAGACCCAGAAGAAGAAAGCTCTGATTTTTTTCATATATATATATATATATATATATATATATATATATATTTTTACTGTCAGTACCATTGGTTTACAAAGTTGTCAGTATTTTGAAAGTCTAGGGCACCCCCCTTCAAGTAAAGTCTCCACAGTGCTCCCACCACAAGGTGAATCGTGCTCTCGCCCAACCCCATTCTCACCCTCTTCCTTCCCCTCCCCCCCGGATGCTCTATGACACGAAATAAGGCAGAAGGAGGAAGATAAATATTGATGGTGACACTTAAATGTGGAGCACAGAGAAACCAAGCAAAGGTTTCAATAAAGACAAACTTGAAAACCAACCTTTGAAATCTGACCATAGTCTGTCATCTTTATGCCTCCACATCCACGTCCTGCTTTCTTACCACTCTGTATTTTGCACACAGTTTTTTATCTCTCTGTTTTCCCCCTAATGCTATGTGATTATTGCAGCTTCGTTTTCCTATGTCTCTGCTATTTCTAGGCTCTTCTACAATCACTGGAAACATGGCCCGCAAGGTGCTACACCCCCCATTCTTGTGCAATGCTACAAGGTCATGATGACCTTCAAGGATCACCCCATTACCACTGAGTGCTGCCCCAGGCCTCACCAACTCCAAGCAAAGTTCAGAAGAACCTGTCATGGCTTTATTTTCACAAATTATTGATAATAGGAAGGCGATCTATAGGGAAAGGTTGGGGGAATAACTAAGATCTAACTAGTATTAGGATTTAAAAAAATCCATCCAGAAGTGGATTTCCCTTTCCAGATGATGCAAACTGAACATACTTAACTGTTTCCTTCAGTTTTTTCCATTGTGCTTTGGGAATCCACAGCAACATTTCCCTACTTCATAAGTTCTACCAAATGGTGCCATTTTCTAAACTAACACAATGCCAAGGCATTGTGTTATATTATAACTTTATATTTATATTATAACTTTATATTTTCACCATATCGGTGGACAGGATAAACTGAAAGAGCGTCAGGTCACATGGCGGCGTATTTTTCAATGATGGGATTTGGGGAACTAGACCACAGTGAGAGGCAGTCAGCAGGGATCAAGGGATTCTTTCAGGGAATCAGGGAGCAAATTCATAGAAATAAGGTCACAGACACAGCAGTGGACTCACTTCAGGGTCGTTAGTCTTGCCCTGGCCATTTCAGTGACACTCAAATTTTGACAACAGTATCATCTTCTTTGGGGTGTGTGTATCTGTGTGCATTCATCCATACACAAAGACACACACTCACATGCTCCACACTCTGAGGATGATGAACAAGAATGAAAGAAGAAATAATTGAAGCAGATTTATTTGCAAACAAAGATCATATTTTAAAACATGAGTGTCCATGAGGCAGCAGGCACACACAATCATATCTACACACATCACTGAGCACCTGAGTGCACAGAGTAGGAATAAACAGATAAAATGGCAGTGTCAGTTAAAAGAGCCAACTTAAAAAAGAAATAAAAATTTAAAATGTGAAATCACAGAGAAAGAAATAAAACTAAAGCACCAATTTCAATTAATCCGTTGGGAGATTTCCCTTGGAATTAAATAAGAGCAACAACACTCTCAGAATGCAAGAATGGGGGCTAAAAATAAAGTTGCATTTCATCCGAACCTCATTACATGCCAGGCTGGCATAAATCACTAAAGAATATCCACGCAGTTGGGTTACTTCAGTCTCAAAACACATTAACATTCTCAACATTCTCAATCTCACGGTGTGACTTAGAATGGCAATTAGGGAAACGGTGAAGACTGATATGGTACGAACATAACACAGAACGCTACAGATTTACTAAGAATGAAGAAATATTACAGAGTAAACGCCTGCCCCAGGTCATAGAGACAGACAAAGAGCCTCAGATTTAGAGCAATCTGGGCATCCAGAGGACAGCTCTTCCTTACAAAAACAAAATTGAAGAATTTTATTTGTATCATTGGAGATTAACTTAGATGAGTGTTGATGGTTTCCAAGTGACCCTTAAGGCCGTGCGAGATTGTCAAATTACCAGATTTCTTTGGAGCTGTCTCCCCCACCACCCTGTACAAACACCCTATAACTCCTGACTTCCCCAAACTCAAATAGCCTGTTGTTGACCAGAAGCCTTACTGATAACATCAAGAGTGGACTAACACCTATTGTGCACATTACATGTATTAGATAATGTATTCTTATGATCAAGGAAGCTGGAGGAAAGAAAATGTTATTAAGAAAACCATAAAGTAGAGAATATACATGGACAGGATTGGACTGTATTTATTGAAAATTATCTGTGTCTCCTGGACACTCACAGATCAAGCCATGTTCAAGATCCACTGTGCGTTAATGTCCATGTCCCAGGAGCCCACCTGTTCGTGGCCTGCAGGCTGCTAGTTTTGAGTTCTACCCTTGAGCAGTGGTTCTCCTTGGTGAGCATGGGCTAGTTTAAAACTGGGCTAGGCACCTCCCTGGTGGCACAGGGGTTAAGTCTCAGCACTATGAAGCTATCCGCAGCCACTGTGGCATGAGTTCAATCCCCAGCCAGGGAGCTACCCACATGGCACAGCAGACCTCTCCTGACTCCCCACAGCTCCCCTCAGCAGTGGGTTTCAGTAGATCCGCCTGTTCTACTCCCCATTCTGTCTCTGGTGAATCTGCTCACACCCCCCACCCTCCCTCCACCTCTGGCCTACACCCCTGCTCTTGCATAGATAAATATAATAAATCTTTAAAAGAGAGAGAGCAGGAGGAAATGGGAGGCTCATCTTTTAAATAAATAAATAAATAAAACTGGGCTAGTTTTAAGAGATGGGTGCATTTTTCTTTCTAGTCTTTGCCCCAAATGTGACCCTTTGGAGGGTTCTCAAGTACTGGGGGTATGGATTGCTTTAGGGTGCACATTCTGCTCTTTGCCAGTGCCCATGAGAGACAGAGAGCAGCTTAAAAATAGGGACATGAGCATTTCTAGAGGGGCAGGGCAGCCAGGAGGGCACTCACCCGAGCAGAAGTCATCAGAGTAGCGGTCGTAGACGGCCCGGCAGTCCCGCTCGTCACATTCGCACGTGGACCCGTGGATGTCGCCCCAGTCCCCGGTGGGGTCGACGTCGTGACAGGAGCACTCCCCACACACGCAAGTCCCTGGCGGGGAAAGTCAGTTACAGAGTGCCGTGGCCAAAGGCACAAGAGAAAGCATGGAACACGGTGTGTTTCCCGGCTGGAGCTTACTGGTATTTGGAAAATAAACACACTCAGAAAAAAATACAAAGGGAAAAACACCATCTCAAATAGACAGTGGAGATTCTTTCAAAACAAAACGATTATCTATAGCTAGAATGTGAGGGCCTCCAAGACGTGCCATTAGCCCGGTGTTGGTTTGCCTCAAAGTCATATCAAAACACCCCCCCTTGCCTCAGCATCAGGGGGAGGAGAGGCCCAATGGGCTGTGGGGTGCACGGTGGGGCCTCAGCGGTCACATACACTTGAAGGGGGTGATTCTGTGCCTCTAATTCATGGACAGTGGTGCCAGCCAATGTTACCGCAATAAAATAAATTTAAAAATTAAAAAAAAAAGAATGTTAGGGTTAAAACAGTAAAAAAAAAAAAAAAAGTTTGTAATCTGTTTGACAAAAGGAAAGGTAATGAAAAAAAATGAGTAAACTATAAAACTGAACACTGAGATTTTGAAAAAGAGGGCATAAATCCTGTGGGAAACAGTGCCAGAGCTGGGGGGGAGGGGAATCAGTGTGCGTGCAAGTGACCAGGGCAGAGGGCCTGAGTGTGCAGAGATGGGACGTGTCCAGGTGAGACTGGAAGAACAACTCAAAGTCAAGAAAACAAGAAAAAGCAAGGAAAAGGGGACCTGTATCGCTGGAGCAAAGGTGCGTGGTAAGGAAGACACGCTCAGGTGCTGGAGACAAGGCAGGTATCACCTGGGTCACTGGGGGACTGGGCAGCGGAGATGCCCAGTGTAGGTCATTGTCATGTGAATTCAGTAGTCATCTTTAGGCCAACGAGCTAATAATTTGAGGGAATCTCACTGGCCACCAGCCTTGTTCAGGTTGTGCATCCGCTCGGCCTCTGCCAGACCCCAGGAGCTGAGTCCAGGGAGAGCTGGCAGGTAGCAGGTGTTTCCACAAGACATCTGGTCACTTTCCTCCTGTCTCTTTTCAAAACCAAAATGGTTATTATCCACATTAACACAGTCAGCTTCCTACAATGACTGCGTAAGAGTGGCTGCTGAGCTTACTGAATAAAAAGCACATAAACAGAGACAGGTCCTTATATGTTAAATAAAAATACAATATGCATCGGTAGGATGTTCAGTCAGATCTATTCTGCATAAAAAGTCCAAGTTCAGACATTTGGTTTCCTTTCTGTGTGTGCAGAAATGTGCCACATTTTACTGTATGTCCATTAGTAAAAGGATGAAATTGGCCGTATCTGAAGGCTGTCCATGTAGGCACTGTCTATTAGGTGGTGTTCTTTTGTAGAAATGAAATTTTTTCCAGGTTTCTCGATGTTTATAATTTTATAGAAGGAAATGTGGGCACTTATTTATATCCAGTCATCAATGTAAATTCCAAGTGGCTTTCTTTTTCTGCCAGAACAGCTGGCAAAGGGGAAAATAACAAGTATTTTCACCCAAGTCTTCAAAACTGATTTGGTTTCACCTGTTAGTTGACTCACTTTACATCTTAGCAGTGAAAACATATTTTTCAAATTCACGTTTTCGGTCACTCTAAACTCTTTTACCTATTTGGTCCATGTTTCTCTATCTCTCGTCTTCAATGTCACACTTTTTATCAATCAAAAGCCAAATGGCTTTATCAATACTGTATTGCAGCCCACACTTCTATTTACTCATAATTAAGACAAGGAGAGTTTTATGTTTTTTTTTTTTTTCTGAATGGTCTCTGGATAATTAGATGCTCATGCTGTCCATGGCTGCATTAGTCAAGAGACATTTAGCAGAAGTATCTATGAGAATTGCCTTTTAGCTGTACTGTGCTATTTCTGGATGGCCGCCAAAGAAATTACCGTCCCTCTGTTAACTATTTGTTCAGTCGAGCTTAAAGAATGACAGTGACTTTCTTATCTTTCTGCTTTCTACTCAAGAGCAGAACAGGGAGAGAAGACGGTGGGTATAGTAAATGTTGATTTACATTAAAGTCAGGCCTAGAGAAGGCAAAGCCTCCCACCCGGAGGAATCAGAGGAGGGGTGTTGATCATTAAGAGCTGTGTTTTGCTCTCAATCACGTAGTGACGCATGAAAGACACACCTCTGTTACTGCAGACTTGGCCATCTGGAGATGTACATCTTCTCTTGCTCTCCCAGGGGGTGACAGCACACTGGAATTCGCATTTATCCCCATGCCAACCAGCCTCGCAGTAACAGTTTCCACAGTAACACTTGCCATGGCCTTTACCCAAAATGAATTTTAGACAGTGAGGGGAAAAAAAGCAACTTTCAAAAGCAGAATTAACTTTCTACCGCTTGGTGGCTTGGTGATCTTTTTGTTTTGCCTCTTGGAACTTATATAATGTTACCATGCAAGGTTACATCAACTGAAATAAGGGAAAAACAAATAATATAAAGGTTCCTCCCTCATTCTTTAGTTAAAATAATCCACTTATGCATTTTGGACCCCAAACATCATAGTTGCTCCTAGACCTACTCCTTGCATAAAGAAAGCAAACCCATGTATTGATTTACTGGGTGCTAGGCAGATAGCCTATGCAATGAAAACATTTTAAATAATTGACATGAAAGACTGTGAAAGACTATTGCCTTCTGATCTCAAATGTATCAAACTCAATGTATGTAAGCATTCACTTTAAGGGCATTTCTTGAATGAGTCATTAAAATATTTCATTTAACTAGATGTAGGCTGATAACACAATGCAGTAGCTGCAGAGATAGACACATAAGTCTTTATACCTGGAACTTACAGACTGTTAGAAACCGATGTTACTTTAATTAAAAAAATATTTCATTGCAAATCAATGATGAGAAACCAAGGGTATGTGTGGACTGAATGTATGTTTCTTCAACCAGAGGGAATCTTTCATCTTTTCATTCACTGAGCCCCACAAGCTGTTCTGTCCTACGATGTGGAAAAGAAGCTTTCAGCTAAGTCAATGTTCAGTACTCCTTTAGACTGATATTGTGGACCCCTGGTTTCACAATCAAATCTCCTATTTGCAAGGAGGTACCTTCATGGATAAGGACCCCCCATCACTGTGTGTCCGGACGCCACCCCACCCTTTCAGCCCCCATCACTTCATAAATTCTTACCTTGAACATGTGTGTTCTGCCCAAGCAACCTGCACCTGTACCTAGCAATCCCTCCACAAATCCCCTCAGAGGGCAAGTGTATTTATCCTCAAGTGCACTTTGGTGTCCTCTGTTTTTGTAGTTATGCCACTGACCATGAGTGTATGTTCTTGTTTTTGTAAATATGATGAAAACCACATTCACACTGGATTAAACTTCTAATCCTTTCTTTCTGTTTTATAGCAATTTGTGTTTCATCAGCATCTAGCATTAGGGTCATTATATTCTTCCTTTTTTCTCTACTGACAGCCATAATCCCAGAGGCCAGGGGACAAGGAGGGTGAGGCTGTTTTCCTTTCTTAACACTGGCATTTCTGGCCAATGGCAACAGCATTAATAGCGAAGAGAGGGGGTAGAAGAGACTATTCTGGTTGCTTATGTTATTCTTGCCCATCAGCTGAGAGGCCCTTCAGCAGACACATATAGAGATAGAGGGAGAGAGATGGAGAAAGAGACAGGCATCTGAGCATGTGGTGCCATGTTCTCTGTCTAAATGAGCTATACTTGGGGTATCCGAGTAAAATCTCTTCTTAATCTAATAGGCAGTGATGATTTTGGCTACAAATTTTAATTTTAATGTGTTCTCCTGAGCAAATGGAAAGGCTGTCAAACAATTTCATCAATAATAAAATATAAAATCACATGTTTTACTCACAAACTTAAAATTGTCTCTATGTACACACACACACAAATTCCACTCTAGTGCTCTATCACAAGCCTCAGGAATATGAATATTACATGGGAATAAAGCAAGACAACTGAGCATGCAAAGATTTTGCCAGAAGTGAGGTTTTTATAAGAATTGATCTCCTTCTGAAAATAGGATTTTTGTTCTCCTGCATTTCAGGAAATTTATGTAAAGTTTGAGATGTTTAAGGATTACCATGATATTAACAAATGATCAGAAAACTATATTCTCCATGCCCAATTTTTCTGCATGTTTATAAAGTCAGTATTGAACTAGAGTTTTATATTTTTTTTAATGGTGACAGAGGCCAATAAGGAAACAAAGGTCACCTGCAACTGTCCCTATAAACAGAAAACCAAGTGGATCATCCCGACCCCTCAAATGAAAATATTGCAACAAGACACATCTGGCTCATTGAGATAAACTAGAAGCTTTAGGACATTACACATTCCAGAAAATAAACATTGCTCTTTGCTTTGAGAGAGCAAGAAAACCTGCCTCTGTATTGCTTTACTGATGGGCTATAAAATCACCTCTCGACAGATTGGTTTCCCGTGACTGACATGTGAAAGATGGACATTCCCAGTCAATGCCACCTCCAGGGGGTGATAACAGGCGCGCTGGTGTCCCCGGGCAGAGGCCGCACCATGAAATTGCTTAAACCCCAAACAAACGGAAATAATAAATGGAAAGGTTGAGTTCAACAGTTCCCGTTAGGTTATTTCAAGTTGAATGTTTATCTTTACACAGGCAAACAGGTTTTGCTGTGGCAGTGTACAGTAGTACACACTGGCCCCAGGCATGTTCCTGCCCTCTTTTTTTATCTGTAATAATTGGAAATGAAACATGGTAAGGACAAATGCATAATATGTGTGGGGAGATGTATCTAATTGTTCTAAATTTTGGGCTGATCCCTTTAGGAGAATTGTCTGGGCAGCATCTAGCTTAGGTCACTGGCCTGAAAAATGAGTAGAAGGTGTTTGTCCATGCAGCAAGGAGTTTAGAGAGGAAGGAACAAGCAGTCTCAAAGTCGGAGTCTCAGGATGACCACAGGAATCAAATCTACAATTTATTTTTGTAAGCAAAGCCAAGATTGCCATATGTCACTGTCAAGTTCCCTATGACCCTCTGGTTTTCCCTGTTCACATTTGTCCCTGATTCTTCCAGGTAAAAGACTCTTCTGAATTCATTCTGCTGTGGATGGGAAACTTGTCAGTGATAAATGAAATGAGCATTATCAATAGAGAGATGAGGCCAGAGGTAACCAGACTAACATGTGTGGTAGGAGTACAAAAGAGATTCTCACATTCTCATTGTCTTTGTCCACAACTGCAAACTAAAACTTGGGGACAGGCTTGAAGACAGGGAAGAAGAAAAGAAGGACACTGTGGGTGGTGAAGAAGGGCTCTCTCTATGAGCTCCCCACCCAGGGCACGGAGTTGGGGCTCCCTCGTGAGGAGCCAGGTGGTGGGCATCAGGCAGACAGGAGTCTAAATGCCATCATAACTGCTGGAATGGCCATCGATAAGTGAGGATTTTATCTAAACTCCAATTCCCACATTTGTCTGGATAAAATTGATTCTTATCCTAAGGTAATGTGATTGTAAGGTGAGATTACATGGTGCATATTAAGTACTTGCTGCAGTGCTGGGTATTAGTGTTAAGTACTTGCTCTAAACCCATGTTATATCAATACATAAAGGCATATGGCTTGGAAAGTGAAAGCGAACAAAATTAAAACATGCAGTTGAGAAATTGGGAATAAAGAAACAAAATAAAAGCAGCTAGAAAGAGCAGAGAAGAAGTTGGAGTCTAACTAGGCCCACTCCAGCTCTGCAATTGGCCAGTTGCCATAGTGATCGGCTGTCCTCTGGGAACCATTGGGTTTTGCACATAAAAGTGCTATTCAACTTGGAAGATCTTCATCTAACTCTCCTTATATGAAGTGTTTTCCTTTAATAAACACAGGCTCAGATTAAATTAACAAACCTAGTGCAGAAATTGATAGCAAGATAAATGTATAATGAAATGGATGAAAGATGACATATTTTTATTAATTTCTGTAAAGTTAACATACATACCTCCACATATTTCTTCTGTTTCATCATCTATGCATTCTCTATCGTCACACTCACAAAATTTACCATAAATGAGTCCATTTCCATCAGTATTATCACACTTACACCTGCCGCAGTGACATGTACCTGGACCATTCAAATAAAGCAAACATTATTTGTTATATGCATATAAATTATAATTAATGAATTTAACCTATCTCTTTCAAGGAACTAGAAGATCAAATCAGTTTAAAATAACAATTGTGTATTTCTGTGGGTACAATCACACAGATAAGAAAACATTCTTTCTTGAGAGTATTGTAATACAGCAATTATATTTTACAGCACATAGCTATTATGATTGACCTCTAACAGTTTCATGAATGTAAATTTGACTTCTTCAAATGAAAATCTACTTTTATTCATGTCCATTCAATTGATGCATGAATGAATAGCTTCTGCTTTCACCTGGGTCTTAAGTGAACTAAAGCAGAAAATTCTATGCTTTGTGAGGGATGTAACCTTGCTTATCTTCCTCTCCAGTATTTAGTCAATGCTTTGCACAATATTTGAACTTAGCATTTATATAATAACTATTTTGTGGAATTCATTATCAAATGCATAACTGAAAAATGTATGCCCTAATAATTTCACATCTGCAATATCACACTGATACACACGTAATGACAATGGGTCCAGAGTGGGTTTTCTTAGTCACAAAGAACTGAGATCACAGAAGCACTGGAGACATCTGGTCTACCACACACCGCATCCTCAACCAAATTCCCAGATTGGACTACAATCCCTGGAGTGAATTCACTGACAGAAAGACAGCATTTAAATGACATTGAATGGCAAAATGTTCACCTGAGGAACTTCCTCTTAGTATTATTATTCAATTCCTCATTGTTCATCACAGCAATCAAGGCATATTTATTGAGACATTAGCACTCAGGAGACACCACTTTAGAGGTGGGGGTGCAATAGGAGATCAAGTCAGCCATAATTCTCCACTCTGAGTTTTATAGGAGTAAAAACCAACTCGATAAAGTAAATGGTGAAGTGAAGAGTACTGCAAAAGCACATAGCAAGGGGATTTAACTGAGACATGAAGGTCAAAAATAGAGTCTCCAGGGAAGAAGCTGTTCACCGAGAACTGAACACCAAGTAAAAATAAGAGATAAGAGAAGTGAGATGGTGAAGAGGCCCATTTCCAGCAAGAGACAACAACACAGCTCTGGGCTGAAGAGAAAATAGAAGGAAAAAAAAAAATCACCGGACTCTAGGAAATAATGTGGAATGAAATGACCACACCACTGAAGGTCTCATTTATGGAGATCCCACAGGTCACATTAAAGACTTTCAAACTTTAATCCAAGCATAATGAGAAGCCACAGAAATATTTCTACAAGGGAGTCTATGACACAGCATACATTTTCACTAGATTACTCAGTATGTCCAAGGGAATAAAAAGGTGGCAAAAGTGGGTAGGAGGAAATGAGTAGAAAGACTTCTCTGGATGGCAACTGAGCAAAATGGTGGAGGGGGTTATTTCAGTAGAAAGAACAGATGACTTGGTGATTGAGCATGAGAGGAAAGGGGTCGGTGTGGAGGGACTGAAGAGGGTGTTGCTATTTGTCTTGAGTGACCAGATGTTGGTAGTGAGGTCAAGTGGAAAGAGAGAGCATAGAATGAGGACTAAGGCAGACTTGTAATCCCTCTTAGCTCTTCATGTTTAAGATCATGACCTTCAGTTCATATATCTGTAAATAAGTCTATTTCATATGGTGAGACCCAAGTGATAAATATATCACCCAATTATTTTTCTAAAAGCATTACTCTACTAGTACCCAGTAGGCTTTCTATAAACTCCGGATTCTTTCCTTTCCCCCATCAAAATGCTGAATATGCGAGCAGTATTTCCAAATACTTCCTCTGGGCTCAGTCCATATTATGGACCCCAAAATGTCCTGTTTTCATAAATTGTGTGCTTCTACACATCATTTGCTAGCAATTTGCTATTGTCTGTAAGATTTTTTTTTCTCTCACAGCCTTATACAAAGGGTGATTCTGTAAATTTGAGCTTCATATTTTTCCTCTCTGAAAAGAGATATGAAATTTTCTTTTATTAAGCTTCATTTTCTTATGCTTCTTTTATTAAAAGTATTTTACACCATGAAAGTTCATTTCAAATCTGAAGTTTGAATTCTCGGTATTGCTTCATCTCATTTTTTCTCTAATTATCACCCTTTTTTTTTCATTTTCACATTGATTCATATTGTGCTTCAACCAACCATCCATGTGTCTAGTCATTAAGTTTTTTTGTTACCTATTATACTTTTGGTAAAGTATTAGTACTGAGTGCTATTGGAGATAATAAGGTGAATAAAATTAAAACTAACTAAATCAGAGACATGGAAGAAAAGTTAGATAATAGATAATTTATACACACACACACACAACCGGATGACTTAAAGGCATTTGCACAAACAGATCTGTGAAAAATGTTACACATCTCAGTCCGGCCTTATGAAAGAAGAAAGGGATAAGTTCTATAACTGGTATTTGATGTTTGAACTGAATTTCAACAAGTGGAGATGGAGAACAAATCTTGTGATGTTGAGGGAAGAGCCTGGGTTAAGGAATAGGGATGGAGAATTTCTGATTTGAGTCGGAAGAAAAGGCAGAGTGTAGAAGATCCAGGAGATGGGTTCAGGATTTTTGATTTTATCTATCAGGATATCAGCAGTCTCTCCTGCTTTGTAGCAGGGTATAGCTTTGGTCTACGTATGTAGTAGTTGTTTTTAGGAAAGATAGGAAGGCGCAGTCTCTGTCTCTGAATTCTACAACTTCTCACTGACATCACCCACAGGCAGCGCACTCCCCTACACATGGCTGAACCATTCCTGGCTGATGTGGGAAGTTTACAACAGCTCGGAAACTTCCTGTCTCGCCCATCAAGCAGAACTCACAAGCCAGGCTCTGAGACATGGCAGATGGGAGTCCAGGCCCAAGTGCCAGCCTCCTGTGCCATGCTCTGTCGTGCTGCTTCTCTTTCTTGGTTGCCAGTTATCTCAGACTCTGGGATTGGTCTTCTGCTTCTTGCTGGATTATTTTAGCTCTGACTTTTCATCCTGCCCAATATAGCTATCTTCTCTAGGATGACGTCCTTGTCTTGAACGCCAGCCTACAGCCCTGTGCATGGTGCCCAAACCTCCCTTGGCTCTGGGTACTGCCTTTCTGTGTCTCTACAGGGGCAGCTCCATCTCACCTGCTTTTCCATATTATTCCCCCTCCACTCATCTCTTCTCCCCCCTCTACTCCAAGTTTCTTCCAGCAAACTTCATTATATTATGGTGAAGGGTGAGATTAGTAGAAAGAACTCACAGATGAATAAAATTTAGGGGGGCTCTGGGGAAAGTCTTGAACTAGACTGGTAGGTATAACACTAAAAGAAATAAAATTGATAATGAAATTGCCAAAGTAAATTTGAAAGTCTTAGATACTGAGAAGAGAGAAAGAAAATGAAGATATAAACGTAATGCTGAGGGCCTCCCCAGTGACGTAGCAGGTTGAGCGCAGCACTGTGAAGCTGTCCACAGCCTCTGCAGTGTGAGTTCGATTCTCAGCCACCCACGGAGATACCCACATGGCATGGCAGACCTCTCCTGTCTTGCCTGCTGCTCCCCTCAGCAGTGTGTTTCATTGGTCTGCCTGTTCTGTTCCCCGCTCTGGCTCTGGTGAATCCTCTCACCCTCCCATGCTTCTGACTGTACCCAGTGTTTGAATAAATAAATAAATAAATCTTTTAAAAAATGTAATAAAAATAAATAAATAAATGTATCTTTTGGCCCAGCAATCTCAGTTCCAGAAATTTATTTTGCAGATGCACCTCCAAAAATATAAAAACAGCTTTGCATCAATTCATTCCCTGAATTAATATTTCAATTTTAAAGTATTGGAAACTGCCCAAATGTAGTAGATTGGCTGAATCAACTATGTCACAAGCATAGAAATGAGTTCAGTGCATCTAAAAAAACACACAAAAAAACCCCATGAGGGCCTCCTCGGTGGCACAGCAGGTTGAGCACAGCACTATGAAGCTGTCCACAGCCTCTGCAGTGCAGATTTGATCCCGGCAGCTGGCGAGAATTCCACATGGTGCAGCAGAGCTCTCCTGTCTCACCCGCTGCTCCCCTCATCAGGGTATTTCTGTCATCTGCCTGTTCTGCTTCTTGCTCTGTTTCTGGTCAATCCTCTCACCCTCCCGCGCCTCTGTCCTATACCCCAGCTCTTGTATAAAATTAAATAAATCTTTAAAAAAAAAAAAGAAAACAAAAAACCCCACGAGACAGATTTCTATGAACTGATAGGGAATGAATTCCAGAAGATAATGTTGAGTAGCAAAGAGAGAGGGCCGAAGAGTACACACGGCATGCTACCTTCTGTGCAGGGAAAAAATTTGAATAAAAGCATATGCATATATAAAGCTACATATTGTACTTTTACAATAAATAAATAATATACACATATAAAACTGAATGTTTAGTAAAGCTGGTTACCTAGAAGGTGTGAGGAGAAGCAGTCGGAGGTATAGGAAAGAGATGATTCTGAGTGTATTTTCGTGCATAGTTTTGACTTTTGGAAGCATGTTAATGTTTTACACGTTATAAGATAAAACTAAGTCAGTGAGAATGGAAAGAGGAAAAACAACTTAAATGGAAAGAAACCTGAAATAAATAAGCTCACATTCTCACCACTCCTTTAAAACTAGCTGGAAGAATGGAGAGGGCATATTGCCCAGATTTGGGATTATTTCCCAAAATAACCTTTCTATCAGAGAAAATTATTTATGTGGCAAGGCAAGTTCATTCTTACTGACCAGCAGGTCCTTGGCTCCTGTGGGGACCCCTCTTTCCTTAGGTCCCAGACCCATATTTAGTTCAAGATGAAAACCCTCATTTTGACCCCATTCACTTTAGAATTTACACCCATGTACAGTACCCCTGTGTAATGATATGTAATGAAATTTATTCTTTTCTCCTAATAATCTGTCTGATGTTAATTTAATTGCTTCACTAGTTCTAGAAAAACCCAAAGGGGTGGGGAGAAATTTCCTCTCTGACCCCTATCACCCTTCTGAACTTAATCCATATGGAATAATTCGTTGCTGATTAGACAAGAGATTTTATAGATTGCAGAAGGTCTCCACCAACTGTGTGCCAGAAGGGAGGATATTCAAGTCGTCAAATCCTCACCTTTTATTCGTAGAATACTGACTAGCGCCTCCAGCTCTGCATAAGAATTTCTCTGAGACCTGTAAAAAATTACTAGAGTCCAGCCCAGACCCCAAAGCAATCAAATCAGACCATGTAATGTGGGACAAGAGCTTTCTAGGGTTCAATCAGGTGGGATTCACAACAAACGCTGACTCTGGGGTTCCCTGTACTCAAATGTTAAAAGAATAATTCAATAGAGTAACTGTGGCCAACACCATAGAGACCCAAACCATACTTGATTTTGGTTTATTGGGATCTGGTAATTCATGTTGACCACTTCTCCCTAAATTTCTAAGCAATATTTCTAAACGACTTCTATGAGACATGAAAGTATTTTGATCAACAAGAAATCACCCTCTTTCCCTATATATTCCCATTTCCTATCATCACTTCACTGTATTCTTTGAGCTTCACATCCAGTACAACTGAAACTTCTATGCCAAAGGAAAAAAGATTGGCTCCATTTGATGCTATGGTATAAATTCAAAGCACCTTTAATCTGTTTCAGAAAATAATTAAGTCCATTTATGCAACTCCTTTTTAAAAGATTTACACTGACATTCAAAGCCATGCTCACACTTTACATAAAACTTGGTGGCGATGCTTCCGGGGAACACTGTTGGAAGGAGGTTTTGGAAACAGCTGGAGAATATCCAATTTGCCAGGCTCAGCAAGAGGACGGTGTTTTTTTTTAATTTTCCTATCAATTTATCTGAATTTCACTTCTGAAAAATATACTCAAAAGCAGGCTCACTCAGAGGTTCGACCTTTCTGGACGCCCACACATTTTCATTAAAAACCAGAATTTGATGTTTCACTTACTAATTTTCATAGGCTAGAACTCGTACCTGCATTCGAACAGATGATATCTTGAGAATTCTTGCACATCTGGTTGCTTTCTTTCTTTGTCAGGTCACAGTGAGTGGGGTACTGGCAGGCAGCCCCCCACCATCCAGGCTCACACTCGCACTTACCACAGTCACACTTGCCGTGGCCTGAGGATTGAATGACACCCAGTTAGGCTCTGAGAGTTTTCAAAGGAAATCATTCTTGTAACTACAAGCCTGAAGTCTGAAGTATAAAAAATTCGAACATGCATTTTACAGTCGCTGAGGGGAAATGCTATTATAGACAGCATAATGGAGTATGTGAGTTTTATCTCCATCATCAACTTTGATAGATCATTCTCAAAATACTGAATTAATGCATAGGGCCATTAAAATAGATAATAAATGATAGTTCTAATAAACCACAAGGTCAGAATATTTAGCCCTGAAAAAGAAAAAAATCCACCTAGCAACTATACATTTAAGAGAGAAAAGCCCAGTAAAAATTATTTTCATTTAAACGCATTTTATGACACATGAAACCCCACCTTTGTATGAGTTATCTTACATGAAACGCCACTAGGCTGACCATTGGCCTTACATATATTTGAATATATTTTACTGTAGTAAAATTATGAGTATGTTAACTACCACCTTGGGATAGTTGGATATGAAGTAAAGGGGATATATTTTATTTCATGATGAGAAAAATTGATTTGGGAATCAAAAAGCTCGGAGTTACATTCATCTATCTCCACAGAGACCTCAACTTTTCATGCCCTCAAATCAATGTTGTGCCGTTTTATTGTGATATTAATTTGATTAAGTCCTTCTTGATGCCTAAGTGTTTAATGACCACATATAGTCTGTCCTGCACACAAAATATGAATAATCCTCGACCCTTGTCCTCAGGGATCTCGCAATCTTCACAGCTGAGGCTGATAGGCAAAGAGGAATGTGTATCTTCAGCCAGGAATGTTTGTCAGATGTTAAGTTGCACAATACAGTTTATGACCTAAAGAAATAAGAAGGGAGAGACTTTCTGGACTGTTTGAGGTATAACTGAACCTTAAAGTGTGAGCAGAATTTGAGTGGGCTCTAGGCCAGAGTATTCTTACATTAAAGATAATAATACTGTCTTAAAGCCTGAAATTCATAGGGCACAGTGGAATGGCATCACTGATCTGGTGCCAATAGTCATTCAATGTGGCAGCCAAAATCTGTAAGATGAGATCCAGATGGCCTGGCCATTCAGAATGAATGGCTTGGAGGCAGCCCATGTGGGCTTATTCAGTAGACCCTGAATTTGTGATTTGCTGTGCCTTCAAAAGTCCTGTGCACAAAATATGTGTCCCTATAAATGATTCTATTTCCATTGCATTTTTCCAATTAATCTATTTTACAAACAAAGTCTTGGGTGCACCTTAATTACAATTCATTGTATTCCATGCACATTACCCTGTCAAATCGATTATGTCATTTTGTATTCCTGTCCGACCCGACCGATATTGTCAATCTCAGTCAACTTGGTGTCATTTACAAGCATAATCTCTCCTGCCAACCATCTAGTCTATTTATAAAGGTATTAAGTCAAATTCTTGAAGTGGCTAAGCCTCTTTTGCTAAATGAAGTATCTTGATAAGTATAATGACTCTAATAATATTAGTGTATTAGGTTGATCCACATGAGATCACCACTTTTATAAGTTGCATATCAGCATATCACCTATTTCTCATGACTCATGCCAATAAAAAGGCTTCTCAACAACAAAATAGAAATGAGTTTGAAGATAAGCTAGTAATTTTTTGCTGAATCTAGAATAAAAGAATACGCAATGCTCCTTTTATACTGGACTGGTCATTGTTAGTCAGATCCTAAAGATGTATATACAACAGATGGGTAATAGTGTGGGGGTCAAAGGTTACAGACTTTTTAAATGGAAGGGATATTAAAAAATAGGGGGGAATGTACAGATGATAGAGAAGACCCATCCTTCCCAATTGGATCCCATGGAGCATCAGTAGAAGCAATATTTTAAGGTGCTCATACCCCAAATGCGGTCCATGGAGGTCATTTCAGAAACACCTTCTATAAATTACTGGATAGTGAAATAAACATGGGAAAGAGTTCCATCATTAGGATCAAATAGGATCGGGTCATTTGCCTTTATGTTGTTTCTAAATTTAGTGTTCCATGAGGTACATCATGAATTTCCTCAGATATCCTACTATGACATATCTATTTCACTTTAGGTAGATCAGTATAAACCACTTATGGGGGGGCTAAGGGTCCCCTTGTCCTCAGAACGTGAATTAACAGCCAAGACCAACACTGTCAAATAATTCATTTTTCACTTTACCTTCAGCATCTGATTAGAGATAAATGACCCGATAGGATCGGGTCATTTGCCTTTATGTTATTTCTAAATTTTATGCTTAGTAAAGATCTTTTTAAAATATATATATATATATATATTTTTTTTTTTAAATTAAAGTGACATTGGTGGACAACACACTGTATGTTTTATGTGATTAAGAGCTGTAAGACCCCACCTCTTGAGGTGGATGTGACCACACCACACCCACCACCAAGGCACCCACATCTCCACCACTGTTCATTGTGCTGCCCCCACGACCCCTCCATCTCTCCCCCACTGGCACCTGTTTTACTCTCAGACTCTAGGGCCTGTTTTCCATCTGGTGTTGTCTGACTCATTATTTCTCTATATTCACATATGGGTGAAACCATCCAGGATTTCTAGTAAAGACCTCCTGATTCCCTTTCCTCCATTGAGGAAGCCAAATAGGATTCAATATTTGACTGTCGATAATACCCTGTAGAATCTTATTTGGAGATAAACATGCATTTTTTAACAGAGAAAATAATCTTCAGACTATTTTCCCTTTATCCAAGGTGAGTGCGAGCATAGCAGCCTCGGAGAACTAGGTCGCTTATCATTGTGGCAAGGTAATCTTCATAACAGTGCCAATAATATGGCTTCAAGACAATTCCCTTTTTCAAAATAATTGATCCACTGTGTAGAGTTTCCTAGGGCTGCCATCCAAACTACCCTAATCTGAAGCACTTAAAACTGCAGAAATTTACTCTTTCCCAGTTCTGAACCCCAGAGACCTGACATCAAGGTATCCACAGATTGGCCCCTTTGGAGGCTCTGAACAAGGGACAGTGTCTACTTGCCATGGGGGTCACCTGCAGGTGTGGCGCTCTGTGGCTTGTGAGGCTGGCTTCCAACATGCTTTACGTGACTTTCCCTCGCTTCCCCTTTGTGTCTGTCTTCACAGCTTTCTCCTTTGAAAGGCACCAGTCCTTGCATTGCGAGCCTGTCTGGCTTCAGTATGACCTCACCTTAATTTCACTACCTCTCCAAAGCCCCTGCTTCCAAATATCATATTCACCTGCTCCAGAGTGGGACTTCATTCATCTTTTGGAGAGACACAGTTCAACTGCACTAGTGCAACTCATAGATACTGATTATTATTCTCTTCCTAACTCAGATTTATGTAAAAAAAAAAATGGGCACATTTTCCTCTTAGATATGAACATAAACTGGCACCAAGCCCCTTACTCCCCATTCCTACTTGATACTGGGAGGGGCTGAGTATCGCTACAGGCATCCAGGCACCTGCCACACTTGCTCACAGCTCTGCTCAGCCTCCCTCTCGGGGATGGCTCCACAAAAGTGCTCTTTTACCCCCAGTCCAGCCCAAAGATGTGAGCCCTGCCATGTGCCTCAGGGGAAATCCCAGCAGGCTGTGGAAGAGATGTGGGAACTTGGGGAGTGGAAAAGTTCTGGGTCCCAGGCATCTCAGTCTAGAATAGCACAGGTGATGGGCTCCAGCCCCCTGGTCACCATGTCACCTTGGTCTGTGAGACATCCATCCCACTCCAGGCTTGGAAATGATGACTCATGACTGGAAGAGGATCCCCTAAATCATGGGGTCCACAAGAGCAACCTGAAATCCTAACCAACAAAGCATCTGCTGTCCTGGCTGTCTAGACTACCCCAGCACCCCATAACTCTACACTAACTACGAGGTCTCCTGAAACCCTAAGGTAGTGTGTTTGTGTGTGTGTGCGTGTGTGTGTGAGTGTGTGTGTGATTCTTGCATGAATTTGGGATATATGTTTAACCTGATGAAAATTACTACCTAAGAATCAGTCAAAGTATTGTGTCTTGATTTGCTATAACTTATATTTCATCCCTTGATTTCAAGTCGCAGAATTCTAATTTTCCTATTAATTCAGTAACTCCCTAGGATACCTCTGCTATAAGCTGTCAGAAAGTGGACCATAAAGAAAAGTTGCTGACAGCTTGGTCGAACTGACTGAAAAAAAAAAATGAAATAACTGTCTTGTGAGCAAGTAAAAGAACTTTAAGTCAGGCATTGTCTGTGACACAAGGCTCAGTCAACAGAAAAATAAATATTGATAGTTGGCATAGAGACTAAATTGAGCTCATTTGTTCTCACTTTTAAAATGTTTTAGTAACTCAAGGGGTATTTTATAAAATTTAAAAAACAACTCATGGACAAGGGAGGAAATATTTTTAAATGAGTTGTCACTTTAATTCCTTCAAAATAATTGAAATCTACTTCAATAAGTAGAGCATTTAAATGGAGAATAACAACACAGAGGGGCCAGTCTTGTTTTTAGGATAGAATAATCTGTCTCTCTGTTCATCCTGCAGAAAAACATGAGACTTTTGGATCAAAGTCAAAGGACTGGGTCACTCATACCGAGAGCAGTCGCTGAAATAGCCACTTCATCAGTCATGTCAGCCTCAGGACCACAGGACAAAGATCAGGTGATGCTTGCAAATGTAGGAGGTTGTGTGACAGAGGAGGGACTCCTATGCTAGGGAACCCTGCTCTTCCAGCGGGAAGCAAGCATGTCTGAACTAGCCCAGAAGGAGACATTGTTCTATTACACTGGGTTACAAATGAAATTTCCTCTGCTCCCTTGGAGAGTGATTTCCAAATCCCTATTCTTATCAATATCTTAGCTCCTACAGATACACTTTACTAACAAATCCATGCTGTTCCATTGCATACAGCCACAATAACTTAGCATCCTACATTGGAGAGATTTTTAAGAGTTTTGATCATTTAATACCATAAACAGCGTTGTCGTACGTATTTTCCCTTACT